CAGGCTGGCCTTGAACTCACAGAGATCTGCCTGCCGCTGCCTTCTGAGTGCTGGGATTAAAGGCGTGCGCCCTCATGCCTGGCCGTCCATCTTATCTTTTAAAAGAAATTTTTTTTCTTTCTTTCTTTCTTTTGGCTTTTTGTGATAGGGTCTTATGCAGCCCATGGTGGCCTCAAACTTCCCACATAGCTGGGAGTTATTTTGAATTCTTGATAATCCTGCCTCTATCAGGAGTTCTGTGATTCCAGGTACCAGCCCCCACAGCCTGCTCAGCTCTTATTTTTAAAATGATTTCCTTTCATCTTTGGGTTTATCATTCTTTTCCTTGCTTCTCAAGTTGGAACCTGGAGCATTAATTTTCAACCTTTCTTCTGAAGCTATGTTTCTCCCTAAACACTGCTTTAGCTGCATCTCACAGATTTGATGCATGTTTTTATTTACTGTTTGCTTGAAATGTTTTACACTTTCCAGTGTGACTTATTATTTCATGCCTTGTTATAAGTACGGTTTTTCATTTCCAGGCATTTGGAGACTTCCTAGTTTTTTTCTTTTTTGTAACTTAGATTTAATTTAATTCAGAGTACACACTGTATTATTTCAATTCTTTGAAATTTGCTGACACTTGCTTATTTCCGGATGTGGTCTATTTTGATAAATATGTGTGTGGGAAGAATACATACTTCACAGCTCTAGCTAAAGTGTTTCTACATATGTGAATTAGATCAAGCTAGTTAATCCTGTTGTTCAGACTGTGTGCATTTGGATCAAAAGGAAATAGATGGAGAAGACAGTCTGTAAACAGTCTTAGGTATGATGCTTTTCAGCAAATCATGCTTACTTTCTTGGAAATCCATATTTAAAAAAAAAAGAAGCTCTGACTCCCTACCACAATGTTGACAAGAATTAGTTTGTGATCCATTATAATTTAGATATGAACCCGAAAATGACCAGTTTTCTGAAAGACAGTATAGAGAAGCAAGGGGCGGTGATGCATACCTGTGTGGGGAAGAGGAAGGAAGATCCCAAGTTCGAGCAGCTAAGCAAGCAGTTTCAGGCCCCCCAGGGCTACATAACAAGACTGTCTCTCGTCTGTCTCTGTCTCTCTGTCTCTCTCTCTCTCACACACAGACAATAGCATGGAATACTCCAATGAGAAAGAACAAACCACAAAAGATTGATAAATTAGATTCGTTATTAAAAAAAACTCGAGCTCATTAAAAGCAAAACCAGACCAGAGTGGGAGAAGATAATTTGCATTATCCTCAACACAACGCAATCCAAGTCTCCACCACACTCCAAAGGCTTCTGTAAACCAAGGATCCAGGGTCTTCAAAGAATCTCTACGAGTCAACCGGGAAAGTCAGCCAGTTCTAAAATGGAGCCTGGTGCGGCCCGGTGGGTAGGTGTGTAGGTGAGGGAGCTCGGTGCTCTCCCCGCTGTCTGCCGGGACAGCTCCAACCTAGTCTCGTTCGCGCGCAACGGGCGCACCCCGGGAACTCGCGCGGTCCTCCTTAAGCCGGAGGCGTGGGGCAGCTTGCTGCGGCTCCGCCCCCGGGGGTTGCCGTTTCCTTAGAAGGAGAAGCCCTAGGCCTGGCCTCTAGCCCGTGGGGAGTTCGTGGTGCGCCCCGCGCGCCCCTCGCGGCCACCAGCACTTCTGCGAGCGCGGAAAGACTGCGGACCCGCGCTCCGGCTCCTCAGGCCGGCGCCGGGGCGGGGCGCGCACTCGCCGGTTTGAATGGAAGGGTCTAGACCGGCGGAGGCAGCGGCCAGCCAGTCCTGAACCAGGGCTCTCCGCGGCCCGGCGCGCCATGCGGCTGGAGAGGTGAGCCGGGCGGGCGTGGCGCGCGTCCCTGCGATGCCGCGCCATGGGAACGGCGAGGACGGGGACAAACACCCGAGCTGCTGGGTGCTCAGGTGGGTGGCCTCGGAGCCCGGGGGCCGCCGCAGGACCCGGATCCTTTCCTGGGCGCCGACCAGCCGGCCGGGAGGAGCCCGCGGGGTCCCGACTGTTGCCTGGTCGCCGCAGGCTGCGTGGCATTCTCCGCCGCTCCTAAACTCGCCCTGGAGCGCGGACGCCGTGGCCGCCGAGCCTGTTTTCATTTACCCCGCGGTGCTTCCAGCCCTCGACCACCGCAGGGAATGGTGGATTTAATTTGGAATCCCCCCCCCCCCCCACAAAAAGTGACAGTTTTAAAAGGCTTGGGGCGAAAACCAGAACTGGCCCTTTTTGAGGGCGGCGCCCGGCCGACCCCCTTGTGTGCCCTGGGTCTGCGGTGTGGGTGCAACGCGGTGGGGACCACGGTGCCTCGCGCTGCCGGGTCCCCACGCGTGGCGGCGTCCCTTGGCTACCCGACCCGAGGCGGCGGCCCGGCTGAGCGCTGTCTCTTCCAGGTGCGGTGCCCCCCGCCTGCGTGCCAGCCATGGAAGTGTTGCGGCGCTCTTCTGTCTTCGCCGCGGAGATCATGGACGCCTTTGATCGCTCGCCCACCGACAAGGAGCTGGTGGCCCAGGCCAAAGCGCTAGGCCGGGAGTACGTGCACGCGCGGCTTCTTCGCGCCGGCCTCGCGTGGAGCGCGCCCGAGCGCCCATCTCCAGCCCCTGGTGGACGCCTGGCTGAGGTGTGCACGGTGCTACTACGCTTGGGTGAGTGTGGGCCACCACCGGGCTCGTCCCCAGGCCGCCCCTGCTGGGCCTGCCAGCTCTGTCCTAGGATAGGGTTGTCCGGCACTGGCATGATCATCACGCGAACTGGTCCAGCCCCTCTGCTGCTGTGCCTCACCCTCTTTCCCTCTCGGGCAAGGGGGAGGCTTGCGTGGGTGCAGGACAGGCTGCCTGCTTACTGATTCTAATGCCAGGTCCTCCACCCCTAGCCCTGTGCCTCATTAGCCCAGATCTCAGACATTGATTCCCTAAGAAAGCTCTGGAAGAGTAATATTTTAGCAGCTAAACTTTATTGTGACCCTTGTACTCAGCTGGACTCAAAAATCCTTTGTGGGACCACGTGTCCAGATGTTTGTTTTGGAAAATGGGCGTTTCTTTCAGTTGCTGGGGGAGATCCATATACCCCTGCAGTTTCCCTTGAGGGGGAGCCTCCCCAGGGCCTCCTGGGAGGCTATGTGGGGCACTTGTTCCTGGGTTCACACAGTTCAGCAACTCTTTCTAACCCCTCTAAGATCTGGACACGTGAGGGGGAAGGATAGGCAAACCTTGCCCCTTAGTTGACCTCACCACAGTGGTTCTAGGGCCTGGGGCTGTGCTAGGGAACAGGCATAATAGAAATCAAAGAAACCCTGGATGGGTGTGGGGATGAGCTGGTGCTCTGTGCTGGTGGGAGGGAGTCCTATGAGATCTGGCCTCTTGGACCATGAGGTATGTACCCTTGCTGTTTTGTAAGGGGCACTGCATCTTTATACTGTATTGGCCTCAAGGAGGCAGGACTGCGTAGACTTGGCTTGCCCAAGAGTGTGAGAGAGATGAGTCTACTGGGCTTATCCTGGACTCCCAGGAGGGGAGAGCTCTCTAGGTGTATGGAGAGCCTGAGTAAAAGGGGTTTGGAGGTTGGCTAGGCATCTAGCTCCTTGTCTGATGAGCAGAACTCTGAAGTGCAGTGCCCACTCTCTCTTTCCCTGTACCGTGATGATGACCCTGAGGTAGGGACTACCTCAGATGGTGCTCTGAAGAAAGGACATCTTGACCTTCTGAGAGCCCATAGACTACTGGGGTTCAGGAAGGAAGTCCTGTCTTCCCTCTGACTGTCATCTGACCCACCGTGTGTCTGTCCTCTCAGACCTTTCTGTCTACCCTGAGAGGCCTGAACATTCTGGCTTGTAGGGAGGAGAAGGTACTGACCCTCTGAGTCAGGGCCTTTCTCCATCATCCAGCCCAGGCATGTCTGTTCTCTGGGGCTCAGACCCTACCAAACAGATATGGGGATCCCAGAGGGAGAGAACTTGAACCCCAGGATGTTCTTGTTTATGCCTTGTTTGAGGCCCAGTTATGCCTCCCTGACCCCCAGCATGGCCTTGGCCCCTCAGCTAGCTACACACCGGAAGCAGCCCAGCTTGTCTTCCCGAGCAGTCAGTCTCCCGGGGACAGTCTCCAGAGGCCCCCAGGGTCTGTGTTTGGCAACACAGGCCAGCCTTGGGAATTTTCATGTCCCCCCATCCCCTGGCCCTCCCTTTGGTTCTGCTCTGGTTCCAGATCTTAATTAATTAGATGGAGCACAGCTGGCCTCACGGTTGACGTGGTACCCTTATGGTTGGGCCAGGCAGCAATGGAAGCAGCAGCAGCAGCAGCAGCAGCAGCAGCATTATTTCCCTTTTTGCTTTGGCTGGGGAAGTAGCTGGGCTGGGGACACCCAGTCGGAGGTTGTGTGGAATTCCTGGCACCATCTTCCCTGTGTGTGCATGATGCTGCCAAAGGCACTGCAGCCCTGGGGGCAGGTGGGACTGTGGGAGGCATTTTCTTGGCCTGGGTAGGGCTGGGCTATATAGCGCCACATCCAAGCACACCTACTTGGCAGCAAGAGCCCAGGCTGGCATGCAGGCAGCACCAGTGTCCCCCATGGCTCAGTCTCTAAATCATTTCACCAAGTCATCAGCTGACAGTCTTAGGACCTGAGCTAGGATAGTCCTGTGAGGCAGCAGGGGCCTGCCCACCTATGTGGGGTCTTCCTTCCACAGCCTGTCTTCATGTTGGATTCTGCCTGCCTGCCTGGTCCCTCCTGCTGCTCAGCCTGCCTGCCTGCCTGTTGTGAGTCACTGAGCAGGCGCGGCCCACATACCACTGCAGGATTCCCGCCCCGCTGGTCCAGCCAGCTTGCCCCTGAGGATTGGGGGTTTCACAGCACCTTTCAGGGCTCTTTGTTCATAAAGGCATGGGTGAGGGTGTCAAATGATGTCAGTCAAGTAAGGTGAAGAGGTGGGAATCAAACAGGTTAGGTGGAGATCAGGGCTGAGTGAAGAGGGTATCAGCTTAGAAATCAAGTGAGGTCATGTTGGATCAAGTGCAGGGTGGGGTCTCAGCCAGTGGTCCAGTGGGAGGACCTGAACTGCTGTGTGCCCACACAGGGGATGAGCTGGAGCAGATTCGGCCCAGCGTCTACCGGAATGTGGCCCGGCAGCTGCACATCTCTTTGCAATCTGAGCCTGTGGTGACCGATGCGTTCCTGGCTGTCGCAGGCCACATCTTCTCTGCAGGTAGGTTTGGCTCATTCATTCAAGGTACCTTAGGGAGGGAGCTTAGCATTTGTGGATCATTGAGGCCTTTGGAACCCCATGACAGAACCCTATGGGTTCCAAGCCATGGCCCTCACACAAGGCTCTTGGCACCTGGGGCTGGCCTGAACTGTGTAACTGGCTAGGCCTGAAAGAGCTGGCTCAGCCATCAGTGTGTTACGAACTATTACATTTTATTTATTTATTTACTTTGTGTGTGTGTGTGTGTGTATGTGTATGCGTATGTGCTTGTGTGCATACACATGAGCCACAGTACATAGGTGGAGGTCAGAGGACAACTTTCAAGAGTTGGTTCTCTCCTTCCACCATGTGGGTCCTGGGGGTTGAACTCAGGTCTTCAGGCTTGGCGGTAGGCGCCTTTACCCACTGAGCCATCTCTTTGGTCTTGCTGCTGGTCATTCTGAGGTCTGCTGGGCACAGGCCTGCCATGTGGTAGTATTCCAGCATTGGTGGGGGCTCTGTCGCCCTGCAGGGCAGTGGTGTATCCTGGGCTGCCAGTTTGTTGTTGGTGACCAGAGTGCTTAAGCTTTCACAGCATGGTGCTAAATCCTCATAGGGCATATCCAAGAGGAGTCAACTGTGTGTGGGTAGTTTCGGGCATCTTGGGAGATTTGGGATATATCTGTCTCCATGCCCATGACCACACTCACTGGTAGCTCTCCCAGGTACCTCCATCTTTGCCTCAGAAGCAAGTGATAGGCAGGCCCACCTGCTGCCTCCAGCTTCTTCCTCAGGTTTTACTCTTGTTGCTTTTCTGCACACTGTCCGGGGCTCACAGGAGGCTCCCTCTTCCTGTCCTGTTTCCTCAGAACCCCACTAGACACCTTGTTGTTTACAAAGTGTGTGATCTATGCCTGTTTCATGTGGTCTCTGTCTGGGAGGGAGGCACCGCCAGGCTCAGGAGCATCACATGACAGATCAGGGTCAGCTAGTGCAGCTCCTGTCCTGGAAAACATAATGGCAGGGACCTGGGCTGTGGGAAACAGGTGGGCATGTGGGCAGTGGAATGGGAGAGGTGGGGAGGGCTGTGGCATGGAGGTGGGGAGATAGTGCACCAGGAGCTGGTGGGCAAGTTCTAGCCTCTCCCTTGAGGGTAGCCTGCAGGCACCTGGTGGAGGAGACAGTATGTGGGGCACAGGAAGGAAGCCAGCAGCCACCCTTGTCCTCCCTGAGGCTTTCCTGCTAAGCCAGCAGTGGTGGGTGGCCCCTGGGTGTCTGTCTCCAAGCTGTCAGACAGGCTGGTTTATGAGCCATGGATGGGCTGGATTTATAAGGAACTTTTACTTAAGAGACTGTAGCTCTGGCCTGCTGACAGCTACTGTGAGGCCAGGAGAGGGGCTGGGGCTTTGGGTAGTGATGGGTGTGAGCTAGGGAGAGGGGCCACCCCATGTCTACCTAGCCCTGCCTGGTGCAGGTCCAGCTTGAACACGGAGACAGCCCAGAGAGGCACTGGTTCTGGAAGATCCTCTGAGGGAACTCTCTGGGTTGGGGAGGTTGGGAGGCTGTGGGGATTCAAGGTAGTCAGTCATATCTCACTGGGGACTAGGTAGCACAAGTGAACTTCACAAACAAGCACATGAGGTGTTCAACATCATCAGTTGTTACGTGTGCCAGAGTGGCTTCATATCTACCTAGGTTGGCCAGATTTGAAATCAGGAAACCGTGGTGTTGGTGAGGACATGGGAAACTCAGCCTTCACTCACGGCTGGTGGGAAAGTGAAGGGCAGCCACTTGGAAAGCTGCCTAACAGTTCCTCAAATGTTGAAGCATGGTGTTTGCATACCACCTGCCAGATCTACTTCTAGGTATATGCTCGTAAGAAATAAAACACACCCCCAGAGAAACTGGCCCACGGATGTTCCCAGCATTACTTAGATATCTGAAAGGTAGAGACAGCCCATTTGTCCATCAGTTGATTGACATACATGTGGAACCATCCTCAGTTGTGAAGGGGAGCTGGGCCATGTAGTGCAGATGAGTCCCAGGAACACTGCTACAGGAAATGTTCCCGACACAAAGTGCAGTGTGCTATGATTCCCTTTGTGTGGATGTGCAGTTTACATAAACCTATAGCAACAAAAGCATGTTAGTTGCTAGGGGCTTTGGGGAATCAGAAAATGACTTCCAGGGGGTATGAGGTTTTTCCTGGAGAGGTGATAAAAATGTTCTGGTGTTAGATAGTTGCTCAAGTTTGTGGATATACTAGATGTAGTAACCTATTTTATTTTATTTTTTTGGTCTTTTTGAGACAGGGTCTCCCTGTAGCCCCAGCTGTCCTGGAACTCACTCTGTAGACCAGGCTGGCCTTGAACTCACAGAGATCCGCCTGCCTCTGCCTCCTGAGTGCTGGGATTAAAGACATGTGCCATTACATCCAGCTAGTAACCTAATTTTAAAAAGATTAATCTTATGGTGATGGGATTTGTTTTTTGTTTTTGTTTTGGTCTTTTTGAGACAGGGTTTCCCTGTAGTCCCAGCTGGCCTGGAACTCACTATGAAGACCAAGGCTGGCCTCAAACTCAGAGATCCGCCTACCTCTGTCTGCTGAGTGCTAGGACTAAAGGTGTGCACCACCGCGCCTGGCATAGTGATGGAATTATATCTCAATAAGAAAGAACCATAGGAAGGGCTGGAGAGATGGCTCAGCAGTTACGAGCACTGGCTGCTCTTGCAGAGGATCTGGGTTTAGTTCCTAGCACCCACATAGCATCAGCTAACAGTTGTCAACTCCAGTTCCAGGGGATCCAACACCCTCTTCTGGCCTCTATGGGCATTGTACACAATGGTGCACTTACATGCAGGCAAAGCATGCACTTTAAAAAAAAAAAAAAAGAAACATAGATGAGCCCCAAGGGAAGCAGGAGTTTCCTCAAGGCCTACCCTGGACACCCTCCCCCCCAGCCACCCCTGCTGGGAACATAGCCATTCCTTGGAGCACACTGTTCTTTTTTTTTTTTTTTTTTTTGAAAATCCTAACTAGTTTATTGGGTTTGCTAACAGAACATAGGGGGGGGGTTTACTTACAGAAGAGGAGATTGAACTCAGATTGTCAGGTTTGGTGGCAAGCCCCTTACCCGCTAAGTCATCTTATACTTTCTTCTTTTCTTTTTTTTTTAAACTTAAAAAAAATTATTTAATTTTTAAAATTTTATCTGTATGCATGTATTGCCTGCATGTAGGTAAGTGCACCCACGTCATACAATGCCCATGGAGGTCAGAAGAGGCTGTTAGTTATGGACAGAGTTATGGGACTGGAGTTATGGACAGTTGTTAGCTGCCATGTAGGTGCTGGGATTCGAACCTGGGTCTTCTGCAAGAACAATCAGTGTTATTAACCACTGAGCCATCTCTCCACTCCCTTCTTTTTTTATGGGGCTTTTTGCTACTCTAACATTCCCCCATGGTGGTTTGAATGAAAATGTCCCCCATAGGCTCCAAGTATTTGGACATTTTGTCCCAAGAGGGTGGCACTGTTTTGGGAGGTCTTAGAAGGTATGTGGCTATCCTAGAGGAAGCACATCACTGGGGGGGGCTTAGAGAGTTCTTAAGCCTTGCCAGATCTCCAGTTGCTTGCTTGCTTCCTGTGCCTGCGTGATGATGTGAGAATTTAGCTTCTGCTGATACTGCTCCAGCCACCTCCAGCCACCATGCCTCCCTGTGTAATTCCCCTGGAACTGTAAGCTCAAACACACTCTTCCTTCTATAAATTGCTTTGGTCAGTGTTTTTATCACAGCAGCAGAAAAGTGACTAATACACCCCCTCTGAAGAGGTAACCCTAAAATCTTTTAAGGATTAGATAAAAGCTTCCAAATACTTGAGACATTTTTGGCTTTTGGAAGGGAGAATGTTGCTAAGAGGCCCGAGGACATTTTGACTTTTAGCCAAGACACTGGCTACTTTTCTTTGGGGGTCTTTTTTTGGGGGGGTCTTTTTGAGACAGGGTTTCCCTGTAGCCTCAGCTGGCCTGGAATTCACTATGTAGACCAGGCTGGCCTCGAACTCACAGAGATCCACCTGCTTCTGCCTCCCAAGGGCTGGGATTAAAGGCGTGCACCACCACGCCTGGCACCTACCTCCTATTCTTACCACACCATGGAGCACACTGTTCTTTAACAGGACACTAAGCTTCTCAGTCCACGTGATGACCTCAGAGTGAGGCATTCTGCAGGTGACACAGATGGCATGCACTCAGCACTGATGCCAGACCTATCCTCCCTATTAACCCTTCATCATACCAATGGCACAACTAGGAACAGAGCAGCCCGTGAGGATGCAGCATCTGGGCATGGCCACAGGGCCCTGTGACCCTGTGACCTTGAGCAGTGCCCTTTTGGACCAGGGTGCTCAGCAGGCAGAGGACTAGAGCTATGCCAGATACATATGTGTCCCAGCAGTGACAAGGGTGCTGTTGAAGTCAGGTGATTTCAGACTTGGATTTGTTTTGAAAGAGATGGAAAGTAACAGCCATGGGCAAGTTGAAACCAGGAGTGATGTCTGATTTTTGGCTCCCCTCCCCCTGATTTCCTTTTATTAAGGTGACATTCATATACTATATATTTAATACACTTAACCATTTAAAAATGTATGATTTGGTGGCATTTAGAACATTCAGAGTGCTGTGCAGTCACCATCTGTCTAGGTGTCCAGAGTTCTTCATCACCCCAAGGACACTGTGCCCATCAGCAGTTGCCCCTTGTTTTCCACCCCTAGCCCCTGGCAACCACTGATCTAATTTCTGTTTCTGTGGATTTGCTGTTCTGGACATTTCCTATAGGTGGGCTTCATGGAATTCGTGCCCTCTTGTGTCTGGTTCCTTTCTCTTGCCATGCTGTGGTATCTGTCAGAATTTCACTCTGGCTTATAGCTAAATTATGTTTTTTGTATGACCCCCACCACAATTTGCTAATGGGCATTTAAGTTGCTTCTTCTTGGCTATTGTGAATGGTGTGTAGGGAACATCTGGGTGCTGATCATGCTTTGGAAAGAGGTGATTTTAGCTGCTGGGTAAAGGTGGGTTCAGGAAAGTTTTATGGTCTGCTTCTTAGGTTAACCTCCCGTAAGGTCCATGGTATGTGCTTTTCATGTATTGCCAAACACCCTTCAGCTGTTTTCCCCAGCAAAATTGAGAGCAACGGTTACTTGAACCCTTATCTTGTCTCCATAAGGGTTTGTGTGTATGTGTGTGCGTGGGGGGGGTAGTTGTGTGTGGGTGCAGGTGCATGTATATAGCCAGAGGTTGATGATAGGTGCCTTCCTCAATAGCTTCTATTTTCTGAGACTCTTGCTGAATTTGGAGGGCACCAACTGACTAGGCTAGCTGGCCAGCAAGCCCCAGAAACCCTCTTAGCTCCATCCTTTCTGCCTACCCTCCCAGTGCCAGGATAACAGGCTCATGCCATCCTGCCCTGCTTTTTACATGGTTTGCTGAGGATCTGAACTCAGGTTCTCATGCTTACACAGTAAGTACTTTACTCTTACATGCTTTGAACATGGTAGATCACAGCCCACATCTTGTTATAATTTGTCTTCCTGTACTGCTAACAAGGGGAAACTTCACTTTTTCAAATGCCTAACGTGTTATTTATACTTTTTCCAAAAATAATTTATTTTTGTTTTACGTGTATGAGTGTATTGCCTCCATGTATGTGAGTGCACCCGTGTTGTGCAATGCCACAGAGGTCAGAAGAGGGCTTTGGATTTCCCTGGAACTGTAGTTAAGGACAGTTCATAGCAGCCATGTGGTGCTGGGAATGGAACCCAGGTCCTCTGCAAGAGCAATCAGTGCTCTTAACCACTGAGCCATCTCTCCAGCCCCTGTACTTTTTTTTTTTTTTTAAATATTACTATTATTTTACGTGTATGAGTGTATGGCCTCCATGTATGTGAGTGCACCCGTGTTGTGCAATGCCACAGAGGTCAGAAGAGGGCTTCAGATTCCCCTGGAACTGGAGTTAAGGACGGTTCTTATCCGCCATGTGGGTGCTGGGATTTGAACCTGGGTCTTCTGCAAGAACAACCAGTGTTCTTAACCGCCAAGTCATCTCTCCAGCCCCTGTACTTTTTTTTTTTTTTTAAATATTACTATTATTTTACGTGTATGAGTGTATTGCCTGCATATATGTGAGTGTACCCATGTCATGCAATGCCTCGGAGGTCAGAAGAGGGCTTCAGATTCCCCTGGAACTGGAGTTAAGGACGGTTCTTATCCGCCATGTGGGTGCTGGGAATTGAACCCAGGTCCTCTGCAAGAGCAGTCAGTGCTCTTAACCACCAAGCCATCTCTCCAGCCCTGTACTCTTCTTTTTTTTTGTTTTTTTAAAGGCAGGCAGGGTCTTGCTGTGTATGTGTAACAGCCTTGGCTCCCTTAATCTCAAGATCCTCTCATAATCCTGATATTGGGATTACAGGAATACTACCATATCTGGCTCTTTTTTTCTAAAAAAGGTTTATTTACTTTTATTTTATATGTATGAGTGTTTTGCCTGCATGTATGTAAGTGAACTACATGTGTGCAGTGCCTGTGAGGATAGAAACGGGTGTCAGAACTGGAGTTATAGATGATTGTTAGCTGCCATATGTGTTCTGGGAACCGAAGCTGGGTCTTCTGGAAGAGCAGTAAGTACTTTTAATACCTGAGCCATCTCTCCATCCCCAAGATTTATTTTATCTTTAATTATGTATATGTGTATGAGAGTGGGTAGGTGTGTGCATGTGTGTTTGGGTGCTTGCCAAGGCCAGAAGAGGGTATTGGATCCCTTGGAGCTAGAGTCTTGGGCAGTTGTGAGCCACCTGATGTGGGTACTGGGAACTGAACTCAGGTCCTCTGTAAGTGCAGTACATGACGCTCTTAACTGCTGAGCCATCTCTCCATCCCCTCTCCTTCCTTTTTGGAGACAAGGTCTTATTTAGTCCATGTTGACTTGGAATTGGCTAAGTAGCTGAAGGTGACCTTGATTGAATTCCTGTCTCTGCCTCAAAAGTGCTGGGATTATATCACCTGGCTCTTTTGGTTATAGAACCCAGGGCTTCATGAATGCTAAGCAAGTGCTCAGTCACTGAGCTGCTACCCAACCCTGTATCTTTTGTGAATCAGCTCTTCCTGTTCCGTTCTCCTATTTTTCTTTTTTTAAAAAATATTTTTATTTATTTTTAATTTATGTGTATGATGCTTGCATGTATGTGAGTGCACCCATGTTGTGCAATGCCACGGAGGTCAGAAGAGGGCGTTGAATTCCCCTGGAACTGGAGTTAAGGATGGTTCATAGCTGCCATGTGGATGCTGGGAATCGAACCCAGGTCCTCTGCAAGAGCAATCAGTGCTCTTAACTGCTGAGCCATCTCTTCAGTCCCCTGTTCTCCTATTTTTCAAGTTTTCTTATGTATTTTTTAAAATTAATTTTATTTTATTGAGGTAAGGTCTCATTATATAGTCTAGGCTGGCCCAAAACTTGTTATGTAGCTCAGGCTGGCTTCAAAATCACAAGCCTCCACCTTAGACTGTGGAAGTCAGGGTAGAAAGGTTTCTTTTAGCCTGACGTGGTGGCACACACCTTTAATCCCAGCACTTGGGAGGCAGAGGCAGGTGGATCTCTGTGAGTTTAAGGCCAGCCTGGTCTACATAGCAAGCTCCAGGCTGGCTAGGGCTATAGGGAGACCCTGTCTCAAACAAGAGGGGCTGGAGAGATGGCTCAGTGGTTAAGAACACTGACTGTTCTTGCAGAAGACCCGGGTTTGAATCCCAGCACCCATATGGCAGCTAACAACTGTCCGTAACTCCAGTTTCAGGGGCTCTGACAGCCTCTTCGGTCCTCCGGGGCATTGCAGTGACATGGGTGCACTTACCTACATGCAGGCAATACACACATACACATAAAAATAATAAATAAAGCCGGGCATGGTGGTGCACGCCTGTAGTCCCAGCACTTGGGAGGCAGAGGCAGGTGGATCTCTGTGAGTTCAAGGCCAGCCTGGTCTACATAGTGAGTTCCAGGACAGCTGGGGTTACAGGGAGACCCTGTCTCAAAAAGACCAAAAAAAAAAGTTTCTTTTAGCTCATCGATTTACAAAATTTCTGTGTTTTCCCCATTTCCATGTGTGTATGTGTTTTTATGTGCATATATATTTTGTATATATGTGGGCATATGTGTGTGTGTGTCCATGTAGAGGGCCAAGATAGGTCTCTCAGTCAAACCCAGAACTCACCAATGTGACTAGTCTTGCTAGCCAGCTTGCTCTGGTAATCTGTCTCCCCTGTCTGAAGCTGGCATTGAGAGTGGGCTGCCACATGCACCCAGCATTTGCATGGGTCCCAGGAATCTGACTTTGGTTCCTCATGCTTGCTTGGCAGGCACTTTAATCCCTGGAGCCACCTTCTCCCCAACCCCCACATTTATTTGTTTAGGGACTGTGTGCAGTCCTTCCCCATGCTGTTCATTTTACTTCAAGGTCTTAATTCTGCTTCCTTCCCAGTAGGTCAGAAGTCTGGGCAAGATTCTTCCTGTGGGCCTTGGCTCTTCTATAAAGTTTGGGGACAGGCCCTGTTCTGCTGCCCTGATAGCAAGGTTTAGAGGAGCAGACAAAACAGGGTTGGACATACCCTTGAAGCTGTTCTTGTCCAGCCAGCCCCTCTGTGCTGAGTTGCCTTGCTGTCCCTGTGTCTCTGTGGCCATCTTTGTCACATTTGGGTGAGGCAGGTCTTGTCCTGGGCTTGAGCAGGTATGTAGCAGATCTGGGAGCCTCCGTCTACCCAAGAACTACCTGAAAGGGGTACCAGTATAGCTACCAAGGTGCCCTGTTGGGGTGGGGATCTCAGGGCAGGGGCCCTGCTCCCTTGTCATTGATGGTCACCAGCCGATGGCAGGCAGGAAAGCAGATCAGAAAAGCTCAGCTCTTCATGGGACTCTGTGGCCTGGATGTTGGCCTGAGTCTGATCAGTAACTGTCTCTCTTTACAGGCATCACCTGGGGCAAGGTAGTGTCCCTGTATGCAGTGGCTGCAGGGTTAGCAGTGGACTGTGTGAGGCAGGCTCAGCCTGCCATGGTTCATGCCCTGGTCGACTGCTTGGGGGAATTTGTACGAAAGACCCTGGCAACCTGGCTTCGAAGACGTGGTGGATGGGTGAGTCTGAATAGCAGCAGGGCAATGGGAATGGGGTTGAGAGTGCCAGGAGGGGTAGGATGTGATGAGACCAGGGCGTTAGTGGAGACAGAAGGGTAGAGAGGGAATCTGGGAGTGGGCAAGGGATTTGAGACAGAGAGGTACCTAGGTCCTGTACTGACATGTTCCCTGACCTTGAACTCCTGTCCCCTCTCTCAGCTAAAGAACTTCTGTTCCCAGAAGGTGACTAGCAGAAGGGGTAGCTCCTTGGCTTGGCAGAGGCAGGACTCAGGCCCCTTTATGGGGGGAACCTCAGTACTGCCCAGAGCATCCTCACTTCCTCCTGGGAGCCCCACCTCTCTCCATCCTCAAGAAGCAAAGCCTAGAGGGGTTGGTGTTTGAGTCAGATGCCCCAGTCCATATGCCTGTCTACTTGGGTAGCTAAACCAAAGGTGTTTTGGGGTCCTGGACATGGAGGGTGAGCTTTATCCAAAGGTCTTTGTGTTTTTTTTAAATGGGTGGGTAAGGATACGTGACCTGAGCCCTTTCCCCTTCTGACTCTCAGATGTCCTGCTCAAGTTTTGCTCTAGATAAACCACAAAACTTCTTTCCTCAAGTAACTTTGTGTGCTCCCTCTGTAATTTGGTAGATGTTCTAATACAAAGTGCTGGAGGCCTTGGGTACCTGGCTTTGCTAATTATCTTCTATTCCTCCCAGACCGATGTCCTCAAGTGTGTGGTCAGCACGGACCCTGGCCTGAGCTCCCACTGGCTTGTGGCCACACTCTGCAGTTTTGGCCGCTTCCTGAAGGCTGCTTTCTTTGTGCTGTTGCCGGAGAGATGAGTTTCCCACTGAGGCAGGGGCCACTCTCAGGACCCCTGGGCTCAACTCAAGGAGCCCAAAGCACTTGGAAAACATCCCCCTATCCAAGCTGGGACCACCCAGCCCCCAGGGCCCAACCCCAAATCCTGTTCCTTTGTGTATCCTGGTCTCTGGGAAGGGTGAGTAGAGAAGGCTGTCTCTGAGCCTAAAGCAAGCCTCAGTATCTGCTGTAGCCCTTGTCCTGGAACTCCTGCCAGAAAGTCAGGGTCAGTGCCAGGCCCTAGAGGATGGGACCTGGGAACACTTTCACTTGATGTCCCAAGTCCCCACCCAGGAAGGGGCCTTCCTAGGACATGAGCTGGCCTCGGTCCTTGTGGGCATCAGGCCCTGTACATTTGATCTGTAGGTGACTCTAGCCGAACCAGGAGGAGCCAGGGGCCCTTAGTGGCCCTACACAGGGCAGAAGGTACCTATGCAGTTGCTTAGGCCATCTCTAGAGGGAGAAGGTATCCCTGATCCATGATGGTCCCTTTGTGACAGGGATCAAGGGTATGAGGCTTCAGGCCAACTCATCTGACAGTGTACAGTAGATCTTGTGAATGAGAAGGCTGGCCTACACAAGTTGCATCCAATAAAGTTTCACCCAGTGGAGGGTGAACAAAACCCCATCTCTGCTTTCTTTGTGCCTGTCATGATTGCTAGATGTGCCCAACGGGCCTTCAAAAGCTCAGACTCTGGGGAAGCCCAGCTCCTCAGGATGTCCTAGAAACTTCCCCTCCGCATTGGTGCCCAGTTATCCAGGCACATCTGAGTGACCTGGAGTTCCAGATAGCCCTGTGCTGCTCAAGGTGTGTGCTGGCTGAGTATACCCTGTCCTTCTATAGCTCCTGGGCCTACCCTTTGATTTGACATAGCTTAGCAGCCTGCTCCCTGCCAGGCTCTATGCTGTGTGCCAGGTAGAGGAAGATCCTGTAGAAAGCAGCCATGGAACCATGTGCCGTTCACATTCCCTACATGGGCAGAAAGGCGAGAAACTCTTTATTTTAGGCCAAGTCACTTTGGTATGCTCAGTGGCCCACTTCAAAAATTTTAAGAGATAGGGCTGGAGAGATGGCTCAGCTGTTAAGAACACTGGCTGCTCTTGCAGAGGACCTCCCTTCAGTAACCAGCACCACATGGTGGCTAACAACTACCTGTAATTCCCAGTTCCAGGGGATCTAATACCCTCTTTTTGGCTCTGTGGGCACTGCACACACATGGTACACTCACATGTAGGCAAAACACTCAGACATGAAATTTAAAAACCTCATAAAACAAGAGGTATGGGAGGTTGGTCTGGTGATGGGTGGGGGGAGGTTCTGAGATTGGTTCTCCAGTCTGTTTAGATTTTTTGTTTGTTTGTTTGTTTGTTTTAGACAGGGTCTCCCTGTTGCTCCAGCTGGCCTGGAACTTACCACATGTGTAGACCAGGCTGGCTTCGAAATCACAGAAATCTGCCTGCCTCTGCCTCCCAAGTGCTGGGACTAAAGGTATGTGCCACCACACCCTGCTCAGCCTGGTTAGATTTAAAGGAGCTATGGCCTGTCTGCAACAGGAAAAAGTTGTGCTAGTCCAAGGTGTGATGTGGCAACAGAGATACTCAAAATATAGGCTCCTAATTAACTGTAGATAAGACCAGGTTCTGGTGAGCTGACATTATGCAAATGAAGGAGTTCCATAAAATGCCTGGGTGCTGTGAATTACACTGAACAGAAAGGAGAAAGAAAACAAATGCAGGGCTTTGAGTCCCCAGCCCAAGCATCCCGTGAAAGCCCCGAGTTATATCTGCCCCAAGAGAGACCCCATCTCCTTCAGCAACAGGTTCAACTCTTGGTTCTTCAAGGCTCTCCTGTTAAAAGGAGGGCAGGAGTAAATCCCGAGTTGGAATGGAGTTGTGTGGAAGGCTCTGAGGAAGCTGGGGATATTGGGCCGAATGAGAGGTCCTAGCCCACAGAAGCAGCCTCACTGCCTGGGCAGGACTCCCTGCTTCCTGATGCGGACCTTTTCCTTGAGGCTGATCTACACCCTCAGGATAGTGCTGGAAACCCAGCTGCTTAGCCTTGGTTTCTCTTGCTGCACTACAGGATTGGGCCTGAGAACTCTGAGGTCTAGCCTTGCCTGGCTTCCTGATGAGGCAAGAGTTCCCAAGACTTCACTTAAGGCCCCTCACAGCCTGCATGCCACACATGCCTGTGACCACTTCCAGGCCCTGCTGCCCTTGTGGTTCCTCCCTTCCTGTGAACCTGCCGTGCTCCCAGCTCCAGAAGCTGTGGAGAGGAGATCCCAGAGGCCTCTTGGTGGCTGCGTGGAGTCTGACTCATGGTGGACACCTATGTGAGACCACCTGACATTGTCTGGTGGACAGCAGGTGGAGGGAAGGGGGGAGGAGGGAAAAAGCATTGCTGGTGTGTGGGTGGTCTTGCTTTCTTAGGCTTCTGTTCTTGGATCAAATCCTCTGGTTTATTTCCAACACAAGAAAGTAAATTTTTCAACACTCAGAACTCAGAAAAGCACAGGGCTTAAAGTGGCACAGAGATCAGTATGCACATTTAGTTAGAAGAAGACACAATGGAGAGATGAAACACTCCAACAACAAAAGGATAAAAGTCGGAGACATAAATGGAGTAAGAGTGGGCAAGACTATATGAGGAAAGCTCTAAAAACAACTTGAAGTGAAGGCATTCAGGTAGATCCGAACAGAAGCCTGAGTGAGAAAATGTCTGAGAAGACAGCATTCCACATGGGCATTCCTGAACCTGATACAGGCTTTATAAATCAGGCTGTTCTTCCCCCAAATCAAAACAAGCTGGAGAGAGAGAGAGACCAACACACACACACACACCACACACACCACATGCACACACCACATGCACACACCACATGCACACACACACCACACACACACACACACACACACACACACACACAAAATAAGGGCCAACAAGATGGCTCAGCCAGTAAAGGCACCTGTCACCAACCCTGCAATTGATTTGAGTTTGATCCTCAGGACTCATGTTGTCCTCTGACCTCCATATACGTGCCATGGCACACAGACACACACCCCCCACACACACACACACACACACACACACACACACACACACACACACACACACAGTAGGGGTGTGGGGATAGAGACAGAAATAGCCAGGAGCCACACCCCAGTGAGGAGAAATTAGAGCAAATAGTCCTACCTGCTTCCAACCACATGGCACTAGTATGGATGGAAGGTTGGGATCCAGGACTGTGGATGACCCAGAATCAGACCCCAGTATCTAGAGAAAAAGGTGTCATCGATTCCTGGGGAAAGACGGGCAGAATTACCAAGACCAATAGCCTGTGAAACAGAAGCCTGTGTAGAACACAGTACCAGAGAGAGAAAAAGTGAATTCTTTTGTAACTGGGGAGTCAGCAATTTAGAATATGATTCTAAATCTAAGCATAATAAAGACAAAATACATAGTGGAACAAAATGCTGGTAATATTTAACATTCTCAAGCATGTTGGTATTAAGAGTGCTGTGGGGTGGGAGACAGGGAGCAGGATGTGGGTGTGGGCTTTCCTTTAGGGTGATGAAAGTATGGGAAGTAGATGATGGCTGCATAGCCTACCAAATGACACTGAGTTGTATGGTTAAAATGTTGAGTTTTGTGTCCGGTGTGGTGGTGCACGCCTTTAGTGCACTCGGGAGGCAGAGGCAGAGGCAGGCTGATCTCTGTGAGTTCGAGGCCAGTCTGGTCTACATAGTGAGTTCTAGGCCAGCTGGGGCTACAGGGAGACGCTGCCTCAAAAAGAAAAAAAAAAAAAAAAAAAAAAGTTGAATTTTGTGTTGCATGCATTTTACCTTAACAAAATCTTGTAACTTAAAACCAAAAAGATTAGGATTAATATTCCTAATTCAAGACAGTTTGTGAGCTGTGAGTCAAGAAGGAAAACAAAATATAAGAGAAATCCAAATTCTAACCCATTGCCCACCTAGTATTGGCCCAAATCCAGGTTTATCCACAGTCTCCACTGTCTTCGGGAGTGGGTACCTTGTCCAAGCTCTTGGGGTGCAGAGCCCATGGAGGAAGGGTCAAACCTAAAGAGGTCCTTTGGTTAGCAATTCCATTTCTAGAAATCAATCCTGAAGACACACTGGAAAATATCCAAAATGACACGAGGCTTCATGTGCCATTATTTGATGAGTAAAAGGCTAAATGACCCAAGTGCTGGTGTTAGGGAGCTGCTGGGAAGTGCACTATGGGAAACGTGGTGAGCTGTGCCTTTGGGAACAGATGTTCCCTGTTTGAGAGTCCTGACGACAAAACCACTCAAGTGATTTGCATGTGCAGAATGAACTTAAGGAACCACTAATTCCTAGAAATAAAACAGCTGAACTCATATACCACGTTGGTGCCATAGCACAGACAAAAATATTTAATATATTTTAACTCTATGTGGTCTTTTTTTTTTTTTTTTTTTGAGAGAGAGAGAGAGGGTCCCCCTGTAGCCCCAGCTGGCCTGGAACTCACCATATAGATCAGGATACCCTCAATCTCACAGACACCTTGCCTGCCTCAGCCTCTACAGTACTAGGATTAAAGGCATGTACCACCAGGTCCAGTTTAACTTTGTCTTCAATAGGTAAAGTATATTAAGACTAGCAAAAGATCAAACTTTAATCAGCAGTCTTACTGTTAATAACTATTTTGAAATAATTGTATCCTATAGAATAACACAAGCAGTATTAAAGTTTTAATGAGTGACAGTTTAATCAAAGAATATAAATAAAAAGCAGAATCGGAAACTGTTAGATCACAGATCCTTAGCTCTTCTCTCCCTCAGAAATCAGCCACACCCCTCTGCAGTGTCTGTCCTTGGGTGGAGTTGGTAAGAAAGCATGTTGTGATCTTGCAGCTAGCTCTTCTCACAGAGCTGTGTTCTTCCTTTCCCTCCCTCTCTGCTGGCAGGCCTGTCCCCTTCTACCCCCAACTGCCCAGACCCAAGATGACCTTGAATTAAAGCCAACGTTTGTCTGAACCTTCCTGACTTCTAACTACCTCACTCCACCAACCCCACCCCTGAAAACCTGTTAGAAAGAGCAAGACCCTCTCTTGTTCTTTAGCTTTAAAGAGAACTCAAGGGTCTGTCATCTTGAGACCCTTGCATTGTCTATATCACAATGCTGTAATTTTACAGATCCTTCTGAACTGAGGGCTTTTCCCTTCAGGACTCTTGTCATGTATGTGTGATAGGTACCTTTCCCTAATGAAGATCTTTCTCAGATGTGAAGACTCATTCTCATCTGCAGGCTGTAACCCTCCTGACAAGCTCATCTGAAAGGCAGTTTCATCTTGGCTTCCTTTTCTTAAGTTAAAAAAAAAAATTTAATTTCTTGGGGCTGGAGAGATGGCTCAGAACACTGGTTGGTCTTGCAGAAGACCCAGGTTCAAATCCCAGCACCCACATGACAGCTAACAACTGTCTGTAACTCTAGTTCCAGGGGATCTGACAGCCTCTTCTGACCTCTGCAGGTATTGCATGACGGGTGCACTTACCTACATGCAGGCATAACACTCATACACATAAAATAAAAATAATAAGGGGCTGGAGAGATGGCTCAGCAGTTAAGAACATTGGCTGTTCT